CGCGGTCACCGAGCGAACTTTACGATCCGCAAGTTCCCGCAACGTAGCCCGGCGCGTTGCGGAACGTGACCGATTGCGCTCGTATAGCGGAGTACGAGCAGCCAGAACGTACGTGTCCCAGGCTCGTCCTCGTAATATACGCGCGGATAGCCGACTGTATATATATATGTATATATATATATGTATATATACAGTCGGCTATATATATATATATATACATATATATATAGAGAGAGAGAGAGACATACACGGTCGTAATCGTTGCTCCGACAGACACACGCGGCCGCGCGCGGAGCGGAACGGAGCGGAGCGAAGCGGGCGAGAGCACCGCTCGCTCGGCGGATAGGTGTGTGCGAGCGGGGTACGTGCGAGCACGAAGATTGCTCCGGGGCTTTCGGGGTTGAGCATATTGAATAACTCGCTCACTGGACCGCGAAAATATACCGCGAGGCTGCCAGTATGCGGATCGACGTTCCTGAAAGGACCTTCCAGGATCCTCGGGGCGGGCACTGTATCCTGTCTATGTGTCTACCTAACCCACCCCGAGCGAAATGACGACGACTACGCGATGGAAGGAGGCTCGTCCGCGTATTACCTCCGTGCTGGGGGTTGAAAATGCATCGCGAAGGGAATCTCGTTGCGGCGTAGACGCAACAAAGGGGATGATTTCTTCCTCGCTTTCTTTTTTTTTTATTCCGTGCCGCTTCGAACCAAGAGCCGATATCTTTCCGATGATCCTTATTCTTGACCGTGAAACACTTGTCACTGTTTCTGTATTCCACGACACGGTTTTCGATCTACTACTTTTACGAATTGACCGCGGATTTTTATGTCAGCTAATAATTGCAATTTATTGCTGCGATCTACAGGATCGTTTACTGGACATTTATTTTTTTTTTATCATTTTATATGAGTTGGGAGGAACGCGATAGTGTTTTCAAGGTCCTTAAGCGTGTTTTCTCTTTTTCGTATTTAGCGTGCACTCGTCTTTTTACCGTGAATGCATAAAATCCGCATCGCGTTTCACGCTAAACTTGCTACAATTTTTAATGTTACAGTTGCTGAAATTGTGAAGGCACTTTCGAAGGGAATACAGTAAATTTTGTTTCGTAAAATCTGAGCCGGTACAATTTTATACCGAATTTTGTTTTAACAGAGCAATTATTATTGGCATCTTTTCTTATTTTAATCGAAGCGTTACTACTTTCCAATTAAATACAGTAAATTCTGTCTAACTGACGCTCAGATTGTGCACAAAAATGGACAATTTCAGAAGAGTTATAGCTGTCGACAATCGGTGGCTATAAAAACGAGTCGCAAAGCTCGAATAATCGAATCCTCCCTTCCCATATTCTCCATTTTTGTTAGTTGGGCGTTAATTAGGGAGAATTTACTGTAATTGGAAACTTACTCGATCCAATTATGCATTTTAATAAAGAAGACGAGACGTCCAAATAAATGCAATCTTTTTCATGAATTTAATATTAAGAATAGTTCCCACGTGGCAAATCAAAGCCAAAAATATTTTCCCAAATACAGTAATGTCTCCCTAATTGACGCTCAGATTGTCCACAATAATTGACAATTTGGGAAGAGGAGCCTTGCGAATCGAGCCTCGCGACTCGTTTTTATAATCACCGATTTTCAACAATTATAAAAACGAGCTGCAAGGCTCGAATAATCGTATCTCCTCTTCCCAAATTGTCCATTTTTCTGATTGTCCATTTTTCATATTTTATATCACGTAATGATCTGTAGTCTAATTATACGTTTCTACGTTTCACTCTAAACTCGCCTATGTTCACCAGCTGCGCTAAGAAAATGATTTAGAAGAATACGACTATGATTTGCAGGCATCGCAAGGCGGCGCGCGTTATCGTCGATTAAAAGACATTAACCCGAACGATTTAATGTCCGAAAATGAACGATGCTCGAACCCTAAAAGCTGAAGAAGCGTCCGTATTGTACGAAGAAGGCGCTCGATGCGCGGGGGGTCGATATTTTTGAGAAAACGGAGCGGAGCTTCCCGTTCGCGTCGGAGTCGAGTGTACGTAAGGGCGGGGGTGGCGGAGGATTCGTCCGGGGATTCGCAGGATTACATGCAGGAAAATGGCTCGAGGCCAGAAACGGAATGTCGTTACGTCGGGTAACGATAGGTAAGGCACGGCCATTGTTGGATAACCTGACTAGAATACACAGCGCTTGTATCGGCGGAAATGTGAAGAGAATTGGTCATTCAGGGTATCTCGAATATCTTCGTGAATCCATGACGAATCGGGGACCTCTTCCTGTCTTCGTGCTCCTTGCGCCGTCTCTAATGCGTCATTGTTCACCCTCCCTCCCTCCCACCCCGCGAGAGATCATCGATACCACCGCAAATAATTAACACAGAATAATGCACTCGAGTACGTTGTCCAATTAACACGTCGTCTGGTCGGTGCGATAATGTCGACGAAAGAGAAAAGCAATTTTTTATTTCTTTAGCAAGTTTTTATCAAGCTTTAGATAAACAGTGAATCCCAATGTTGCCCCGAAATCTCAATTTCTGTTTTATCTAATTAGCAAGGAGCACAGATATTAACACTCGGGTGGCAGGACTGGGATCCCTTTCGACCCAGAGAATAAATATCGTTATTTTTGACTGTCCGGTATCTGACAATTTAAATCTTCGCGTGTTTCATTATGCCAATAAAAAAAAGTAACGCGTTTAGAAAGAGTACCTTGAAAAGATCTGTCGGGAACGATTATATAAATTAATAATAAATTATATAATTTATATATTTATATTTATATATATTTAAATATATTTCCATAAATTTTAGGAACGATTCCGAACAGAATCGGTTGCATTCCAGTCAGAAAGGTTCGCCATTCGAGAATGAAATCTTGCCGAAAGCGCCGAGGGTAATTATTCCGACGTTAAGGAATCGTCAACGCGACGAAGACTGCGCAAGCATGAGAGGTCCCCAATTAAAATAGTAATTTTTCAGCGATAAAAGCCCGGTGGTTTCACCGAACGCAAACAAGACGATCCGGAGATGGCTGGCACGGACGCGTCGTAAGTCTGAAACGTGTAATCTTTTTCCCGTTGCGCGGCCTCATCAAGATCAATTAAACCAGTACAGTCGGACGATCCTCGACCGTTAACGATATATCAATTACAGCATAGACGTCGTAAGTAATAACTATTAATGACTCCATTCAGAGCACAATAATTACCATTGTCCACGCGCGCGCGCGACTGCGAGAAAGAATTCTCGCGAGCGTATCGAAAGAAAGCGCGAAGAAGCACCCGCGACGTCACAGCCGGCGGGGATCATTCTATTATCTCGAAACAAACAAAAAATCACATTTTTCGCGCACATCGGGGGAATAAGGTTTCGAGCGTTTCAATAATATAACCTTTCGAACGAGCCCCACGTTTGTTCGCCGGTATCCGGGGGGTGGGAGGGAGGGGGGGCCATTTCAATTTTCCATTATGAAACTTAAAATAGTCTGCGTATAAAACGGCGGGCCGACGGCCGGTTAAAAAACAATATTATTGTAATTATTTGATGACGATGCATGAACGCAATAACCGGCGCCGTTTTAAAACACTGCGAGACGAAATAGGTTTTATAACGCTCGGCCAGTCTCTTTTGCGCGCGGAACCGAAATTTCACGAGCTTTCCCCGCGCGTTCCGGCCGCGCTAAACGAGACGAACTTCGCCTCATAAAGCTACTTTCGGCGGCCGGTGCATTGGAAATTTTGCATTCTAACGTCCGAGGAGCGACGCGTCTGGCACCGGCAACGGGCAACCGCGTGTCTGCCGTAAGAAATATACGTTGCGCCCCGTCCTTGCGCACGGTCACAGTCGGTTTTCCCGGAGCTCGTAAATTAAAAGAAAGTGTGCCTGCGTCTCGACGGTCCCTCGAGGAGGCCGGTAGAAGATTATGCCTGCGGATGATGCGCCGGGGAAAACCCACTTCGAGTTTTCCGGTCGTAAGGGAAATAATGCTGTCGCGACAATGAGCGACAAATGGTCGCACAATGCCGCCACCAGACGCTGCCCGAGGTTGAGCTGCTTCGAGCAGAATCAGGTAGCGTTGACTTTTTCAATGATCAACGACCGACAAGCTGTGACTAATTGAAAACGGAGAGCGTTATCACGTAGCTTTCTTTTATCTCGCCGCGTTGGAAACAGTTCCAAAATTACAGCGCTCTCACCTTCTTTTTTTCCGCGCGTATTTCTTCGCCCCTCCCGCCGATGCGTTCTGTCGCGCTTTTCGCTTAATTGTAGAAGCAAAATGGATGTTTCAGTCGAGAATGGGCTTTTACAGGGATTGCGTTACGGTGCAAACGTAGCCGTACAAAGGGCCGGGGCATTTATCGGCGAGCGCGTAGGGTAAAGATCGTTCAATATCCCGGTTGGAATGGAGACGATGCGCGAAATTGAGTGGGATTTAGTCTCGATTCCGGGACTCCTCTCTCCTATGCAGACGTATCGCGGAACGAGAGCGTAGGAAAGCATCGGCGAAACACAATTTGAAAGACGTAATTCGAAAATCGTTCGCCCGACGGCAGCGACCCTCCGTCGGACGTCGAAATGAAATTACGCGACCCTCTGGGCGGGGACCTTGGGGTAGGCACAAAGGCTCGTTTGCGGAGGACACGGCACAACAATTTGACTAAAGGGAACTCTAAACCACTAATCGCTTCGCGATTAACTTCTATTAAACGCTACTTTAACGAGCGCAAAACATTCCGATGATTTTTAAGCCGCCTGGAAAAAGTATCGTAAAGAAGCAATGCTGTGTATTGTTTATCGAAAAGATCACCCATGCGCTAGACATCCTCGAGACGGATTTACGAGGGTCACCGCCTCGCCGCGCTGTTCTACAAGGTGTACGAGAAGTCCTGGAGAACCGACGCGATCGAACGCTCTTTCAGCAATGGTACTCCTGTCTCGTCCAGAAGACAGCGATTCAAGGTCGCAAAATAGTAATTATCGCGGATGTACCTGTTTTTCGCAGCAGCAGCGCGGTCCCGTTGCCTCCTGTTCTTGAACCAATTGCCCACCTGAGTCGGCGTAAGACCGGTAGCGGCGGCCAGCTCTCTCTTCTTGCCGGGGTTCGGATAAGGATCCTGCAGGTACCACTCTCTGAGCAACGACCTGGTCCTCTCCTTGAAGCAATGGGTCTTCTGCTCGCCATCCCAGATGGTCCTCGGCAGAGGGAATTTCTTGCGGACCCGATACTTGTCGACCGGGCCCAGCGGCCTGCCGCGGAGCTTCTCGGCCTCCTGATAATGGGCCTCGAGCCACATCGCCTGCAACTTGCCGTGCGAGTCCTTGGTGAACTTGTGCCTCTCCAAAATGGCGTACAGCTCCCTGTAATGTCCCGAGTGGAAGGCGACGATGGCCCTCGCCCTGAGCACCGCCTCGCTCTGGTTCAGCTCCTGGATGTTCGGGTGCGCGACCGGCAGGCTCCAGAGGAACCTGGCCAGCCTCTCGATGTCGCCGCTCTCCTCCAGGGTCTCACAGACGGTGGCAACCTGGCCGACGGTGAACGACAATGTCGGCAACGCGAAAACGGGGGCAGGAACGATAGGACCGTTTGCGGTGGGTGCGGCGGCACCGGTTCCTGCTGGCGCTACGGCTGACATCTCTTGTTCCTCGAGCTTTGGGATCCTGGCGACCGTCTCTCTCTCTCTCTCTCTCTCTCTCTCACTCTCTCTCTCTCTTTCTTTCTCTAGTTATCGGAGACAGTCACCCACCGGCAGCACCGATCGTACGACTCAACGAACTCTCCGACTCGATTTGTGCTTGCTTTTCGGAGCTTTCATGACGCACCCACCAGCGGATCCATGTTCTAATCACCTCGTTCCATCGGATCACTCGGACCTACCTTAACTTCCGTATATTACGGAACCGCACTTCACGTTACCTCGAGCACTGAACGTGTTGTTACGGGATTGTCGCTCGAACGGATTTATTCACCGGTCGCTCGATCCTCGCCGATCGATCGTGCGCGCGAACAACTTTTTTTCACCTCGACACGAGGCGAGGCGTCTCTCTTCGAGGTTCGCCGTTCCGATTACGACTGACAAGAGCGGCCCTCTCGACACGACTCGGCGTCCGCTAGGCACTTCCGGTCGCCCCCGGCTGTCCTAGGTGGCACTGGACGGTCTTAACTAACAATCGCAACTACGACGGTCGCGATCGGCCGCCGGATGATGACCGATCGCCTGCGTGCCCCAGACTGGAGTAATCTCACCCCCGACGGAACTGTCAACCGAGTCTCGAGGCGGGTAACGACGTTCGCCAGGTAGATATCCGCGGGGTCACCGGCGGAAAGCGCGCTGACGTTTCTCCTCCTCGGCCGTGGGGATATCACGCGAGGCCGCTGTTGCCTGGATCGTATCGGATAGCAAACTGGTTTCGTTTACAAGCCGGCATCTCGGCACCGGCCCTACCCAGCATGATACGTTTGTACGCGCCCGTTGCAACCGGGTAGTCCCGCCGACTCTTGCGACCTACCTCTGCCTCCCTCTTCGTCGCTCTTTCTCCCTTGCACCCTCGTCCTTCCCCCTGGCGGCGGCGTCGGTAGGACGGCCGACCGGTTCGTCGGAGTGGGACAACGATAACCAAGCACCGGGAGGGGGCCAATGTAGAGGCCACGCCCACCAGCCAGACCGGGATTGGCCGGATCCCATCCACGTAGCCATGGCAACCTTTCTTCGTCCTTCCGTACACCGCTGCCCGTATGCACATTTGTGTCGGTTTAATTATCCCTACCACGTGCTAGCCAGCGATCCAACCCCCCACCATCGCGCCTCTTCCCCCCACCGAGCGGTCCGCAGTTCGTCCTTCGCCCCTCCAACGGGTCTCCTACCGCTGCTCTAGCTGCTCCCGCCACGCACGTCTCGCACGCCCCCTCTCTCGCGCGAAATTATTGAGAGAGAGAGTGAGAACGATCGATGCGCTCGCGCGTACGTCGAACGAAGAGTGTAGGATAGTGGGGCGCTGGCAAGGACGGGACGAGAGGCATGATCCTCGCGTTCAACTGCTGCCGTTCCCTACCTTCTGTTGCTCCTGCTGCCGTGATCTCTCGACGAACTGCTTTCGACGAGACCCGCTACGCTCTCGCCGATACACCGGAGCCGTAAGGTCCGCGGTGCTTCCTACCGATGGCTTTTCGGCTACGTTTCTGCTACCACGCGATGCCATTTTCGCGATCTTCTCGCGGAGTATCGCTCTGATGGATTCGCTCTTCGTGTCGTTTGCCGCGGATTCGCCGTCCGCTGTTTCGTTTTATTTTGCTGCTCGTTTGGAATCACAAATTGATCCGCGTTCGAGAGGTTTGATTCTCGGGCTGTTCGAAGACGGACCCGGTGCAATGGGCCTCGACGATACTTCGAAGCAAATCCGGAGGATTAGTTGTAACGTGCGCCAGAACGCTTCGCAACATTGGGCTCCGCCTCCTGATTACCGTCGCGGCGGCTGTTGGCTCGAAAGCGATAGGAGTGGGGAGCGAGATGCTGCGTGGGCGGGAGGCGGGGCCTAATGTTGCGCTCCGAAGCGTTCCGAGCACTGCTATACGCTGTATTTCCTTAGGAATAGTCTGTATAAATAATACAACAATTTTCGAACATCAAAATTAAATGATAACGCATTTTTTGTTTCGGCAAATTTAACGAGTCGAACGTAATGCAATAATATTCTTAGATTCTTCTAATACCTTTACAATTATATACTTAATAATAATTCTTAGTCTTAATAATAATTCATGAGTGATTATAACAAACCGAATTATCAGTATTTGTAATATCTATCTCATCGTACAATCTTTATTCCTTCGTATTATTTTATTTGAAGCTAATCAATTTTGCATTTCGCAACTCAGCCTAAATAAATAATCGAAGATCATTATTCAGCATCCACTAAACCGGTGTTATTCGTTAAAGCGGGGAAAATAATTACGGACGCATACGAAGGAACGCGTGACCTAATCGAGAACGGAGCGCGAGCGCGCTAATATCGTGGCGAGCCTAATTATGGACGGAGAATCTCGTGAAATTTTTGTCTGAACACAAACGACGAATATTTTCTGTCGATCGATGATCACGGAGACTCGAGAAAATAAGAAACACTTCTGTTATTAGACAGCTTTCTAGCTTTCTATTGGGTTGGCAACTAAGTAATTACCGATTTCAGTTATATAGATGTCTCTCACTCCCATTTTTATGATATCCGTAAATGTTATATTATAAAATTATTATTATTATTATGTTATTTTTTATTACCCGTGAATGTTAGCAACTGGACAAATCGAATGCAGCGGTCAAGGAAAAGCGAGCAGAATTGGTCAATCGTAAAGGTGTCATTTTCCAGCAGGACAATGCTAGACCGCACACGTCTTTGTTCACTCGGCAAAAATTAATGGATATTGGTTGGGAATTGATGTTACACCCACCATATAGCCCTGATCTCGCGCCATCGGATTACCACTTATTTCGATCCCTG